GAGAGAGAGAGAGAGAGAGAGAGAGAGAGAGAGAGCACAGGTAATAGTGGGGACAGCCGTTAATGATCGACCGCTAATGACTGGCAATAAAACAATTTCTAACTTTAAAATTGTATTTCCACTCAATATATACCCCGAGAGACAGACAGTGAGAGACAGCACAGCATATACTGTACGGACGGGACGGGTATGTATTGGTGAGCCCCAGAGGTTTTGACACAAAACTACACTCCCATACCACTCAACACACTCTCATATATACAGTGTATGTTCACAATTACATCGTGGCAAAAAGCGGCACTGGTATGCAAAAAGGTCATTATCATTAAGGGCTAAGGTATTTGATTTTGAAGACACTTTTTTTGTATGTGAATTAAATACATAATAATCGCTTTTTTTAGGGGAACCATTCACTACAGTAAAACACTTGGTAATAGTGAACATGGATTTTGACTATGCTTTTACTTTAACCATATTAATTTTAATAATTTTCATAGATTATATATTTGGAAATGAATTTATTGTTTAAATTTATTTAATATTAGCAATATATCTAAAGATTTAACATGTATTTGAATTATATTCAATGTTTATTATAGCGTGGGTTGACTGTAGTATTCAGTGACCAAATAAAATATGTTTTTAATAAACAATTAAGTGTCTGTCCATCCGTTGCACACAATTAGATAGGCATATGTGTGCCTACCGTTCCCTAAGAGGCCCTTCAAAAAACACAATGACTATTACCTGTCCCTACCGTCCGTCCGCTCACTAATTGAATATAATATGCTTTTTATGCAAATATTGATGAAAGCGGAGAAAAATATGTGTTTCGTAATCAACAGTAGAGAGAGAGAGAGAGAGAGAGATTTAATAAATTATTTTTGCATTTCGTTAATACAATACATACTAAATATAAAGGGAGAGAGAGAAGTTGCAAATGATAAGCAAATTTGAAATGACTTATTATTATGCGATTAAACGCTTATAAAAATATTTAAACGAAAATATCTTTTCATCAAATATTCAGTTGTCTATTAAGAGAGAGAGAGAGAGAGAGAGAGAGTCAATGCAATTATATAAACCACGATGCTTTAGGATTACAATGTACGGCACAAAAGTATGTTATTTTTCTTTATTACTATTATTACAACAGTTTTTACTGTCATTATTATTATGTATTGACTATTCTCTCAGCGATTATTAATAATATAGTAGTTTTTGTCTGTATTTTTTTCTCTCCCTTTATATTTAGTATGTATTGTATTAACGAAATGCAAAAATAATTTATTAAATCTCTCTCTCTCTCTCTCTCTCTCTCTCTCTCTCCCTCTTCTCTTAATAGACAACTGAATATTTGATGAAAAGATATTTTCGTTTAAATATTTTTATAAGCGTTTAATCGCATAATAATAAGTCATTTCAATATCCATTAAAAACAAAGCAACAAAAAACTAAAATACAATTATATTTGATGTTGTTTTGCGGTATTTGTTGTTTATGTGGTCTGTTATACGAATGGGTATTAACCCTGTTGCAAATGATAAGCAAATTTGAAAATTGGCCCTAAATGATTTATTATGTATATTTTTGTATAAAATATGATTTATTTAATTGTGTTATTATTTAATTAAAATTTTACAAAACAGTTTTGTTTGTGTGGACGCGTCTAAACTCAGCCAATAAATTGTGTGCAGACAATGCATTTTGAATACAAATCACACGCAAAAACTATTATACATTTCCGTTTGGTCTATAATTAAGGCCATAGTTTTGCTGTGAAATGACTTTTTTTGCTGTCCATATGTATGCGTGTTGTGTGGGGACGGGTATGTCGTCTATGTCTAAACCTAGACTCTGGGGTTTGTTAAGCAAAATATGATTGAGGAGAAAGAGAGAGAGAGAGAGAGAGAGAGAGAGAGAGAGAGATTTAATAAATTATTTTTGCATTTCGTTAATACAATACATACTAAATATAAAGGGAGAGAAAAAAATACAGACAAAAACTACTATAATAAACGAAAATATCTTTTCATCAAATATTCAGTAGAGAGAGAGAGAGAGAGAGAGAGAGAGAGAGAGAATTTGCTTTCAATCAATTAATATTAGTCAAAAAAATGTTTGTTTAGTTATATTTTTGGGCAAAAATGCCGTTTATTTTTTTCAAACGTCAAGCAATTTACTAATGAGTAAATTAATGATGAGATAATTTAAATATATATTTAAAATGTTTAGGCATTTGCATAGACATCGATGAGATGTATAGCAATATATGTATATATGTATATTCAATACGAATAGTGTCTATCATTAAAATAGACTATTAATAATAATGTCAATTAACAAATATTTGAAACATAATTATCATAAGTATTTTGAGATTCTTGTTATTACAAAAATTACTGTATTTTTTTATTGAAATTAAATCTTTATTAAAATAATAGTTTAATGTTAATATTTTAACATGATATTATGGAAATGTTGTAACATTATATTATGCTTATAAGTTATAAGTTATAACTTATAACAAGTTATACAGTGGTATTGTAATATTCATTACACACTGTATTTGTATGATTGCACGTATCAAGGACAATCAATAGTTGCACTTAAAAGTGATTACGGGTGCATTCGGAGCATTTTATAAATAAACTTGAACTTAATATTGTATACGCTACAAAGTACAAAGTAAAATAGGGTATATAAACAGCAACCGATTCAATAAAAAATCATAACATGTTGATATAAACAACAATTTTAATATTATACAATAATATAGTGACAATATTTGTCAAACATTACTTTCAATGGCAAACATAGCGGTAAATCCTGATGAGTATAAGGCAGTGGCCACACAGGGTCGTAATTTTGCGGGCAAAGTGGCCATGGTCACCGGATCGAGTTCGGGCATTGGCTCTGGTATTGTTAAGCTTATGTCCGCATTGGGCGCCCACGTCGTGGTCACCGGTAGGGATGTGTCGCGGATTCATAGCGTGGCCGAAGAGTGTCAACAATTATCGCCTAAAAAGCTAAAGGTAAATAAAAAATTATATTAACAAGCTAAATCTAGTTGTCACAAAGTTGTATATTATGATAAATTAATTAAAATCATTAAAAACATGAATAACTCAAAATACATGTTGTAACAATTTTATGTGTAGCCGTTGGAAGTTGTGGCAGATTTAGTTAAACAAGATGATATAAAAAACTTGATCACCACCACAATCACCACGTTTGGCCGGCTGGATGTGTTGGTCAACTGTCCGGCACTGTTTCCCTTTACAGACATATGGGATCCCAATCTAATCACACACTTTAACGATGCCATTGCGCTGAACGTGAGGGCTGTACTCGAGCTGACACAACTGGCCGTTCCGCACCTGGAGGCCAGCAAAGGCACAATTATTAACCTGTCATCACTCGCCGGCATAGAACCAGTAAGGAATATAATAGTTAAAATAAAATTTACCTTGTTTAATTATGAACAATATCATAATAACTAACCAATTGTTGTGTAGGGAAAAGAACGAATATATAGTGCTTTTTTACCCCTCCCCTCTCCAATACATCGATACATCGATTGTCGATTGTGTTTGAAAGCATGTATTGAATACATTCACACGCAATGCATTCAATACATGCTATCAAACACACCATTGTTATCATTGCCACGACTGACACGACTGACCACTTCGGACACAACGACCCGTTTGCCACCCGATCGGTAAGTGTTGTGTGAAGGAGAGAGAGAGAGAGAGAGAGAGAGA